GCTTTGATGGGAAGCTGTGGGGAAGGGAAACAAACATTCATAATTCAGATTATAAAATAGTCTGCAAGGACTGGAGAAATACATCTTCCCTTCTGAAAAACAAGACTGTAGTTTGCGAGGAGCTAAGGTTAATGGGACAGACAGTAGTAACTACCTTGAGGATGCCGGGGTACTCCCCTACCTGTGAAGGGAAAACACATTATATGCTGCTAAATCCTACTGATGGGACAGAAACAGCCAACTGCTTATCTGCCACTGTTTTGAGAGCACTTTGAGGTATTAAACAATCTAATAAGGGACGCTTGCCTAGGGAAGGGGGCTTGAGCAGTGCTTGGATGTCACATGTGTAGGGACACCTGCACGGCAGAGGTGCTGGACGGGTGGATGCTGAGTTCAGACGAGACTTGCCTCTCTCCTCGCCTGCTTCTCCAGCCCGCTGCGCATCATTGTGATCCCCTCTCCTGCCCTGGCCTTGCGCTATATCCCGGAATGCCTAACTGGATAGGTTTGGGTTTCTTCTCTTAAGTATGCTGCGCCCTAGGAAGTTCATTATGCAGCTAGTAATTATCAGGACTTCTTACCTTCTTAGCTATTGCTTCTGCTGCCATTAACCTGAATGGACCTTAACAAGTCCTAAAAATGATGTTTGGAGTTTGTGCTCTGCATACCATGCTAGTAGTAGATGCAATTCAGACCAGAGGGGAACAGAAACGGTGCAGGAGGCATCTTTAAGGCAACTCTCTGGCTAGAACTGGTCCAGTATCCAGGAGGATAAAGAGCATCTGTAATCTCTTCACAGTAACCCCTCCGACCAGCCTAGGGAAATCCTTTGTAAGGCCACATAGTGGCCTGTATAGTTGCTCCTCCCTGAGAAAGGCTGCTCTTAAGCAAGGTCCTGCAGGTTGTCAGCAACTTCTTACCCCTCTTTTGGGATGCACAGCACCACCTGAATATCTGTGAGCTACTGGAGCAAGAACAGCCTAAATTATTTTGAAGTGTCATTAATGTGCCCATCTTTTTCTTTTTGAAAAGTAGACTGTTAATGGTCTTCAGATTGCCAAAAATAGCAACCATTGCCATCTATTGAGATGGGCAACTTGCAGTATTGCTTCAGAGAGAACATGCCTTTTTGGCATTTATAAAACTATTCATATTTTCAAGCAGGATATTAATAATTTCTTATTTATGTTGAAGCGATGTAAGATGAAAAATTGATGTGGATGTAACTTTCCCTTCCATATCTTGCAAGCTGGTTGTGCTTCTGATGTGCATGGCCTTAAATGAAGTCAACATTTTCTTTCGGGTTCTAGGTTACTTCCCAAGTGAGGAAGACGAAACTGACACTGACAGAGTGTTTTCAGACTGCTGATGTTTGTTTCACTGCCTATTCTGACTAGCCTTTATCAGCCTTATTGCAGAAAAGGGAAAGTCCTTTGATGCAGTCCAAAACTTTGACTGTAGAAATTCATGTAGTAATGTTTCTCTTTAGTGGCTAAAACATGAGGTGGAAAGTGGGAGATTTGGGCCCTTTTACACATTAGGTTTTTTACGTGTCTTAAGTTTCTTGTATCCCTTCTGCTCTATCTATCCACACAGCTAAAGAGAGATTAATATTTCTTCAGGGTGGGGGGCATAAAGCTTTTAGGGGATTCTTGAAACACTTCTAATAAATGGTAAACACACTAAAGACCTTTTTAAATACTGGCTTGCGAAGCCAAGTTGTGTTTAAAGGCTTAGTACTGGGATGCATGGCTTGTTAGAGTGTATTTGGCTTTAGAGGCATTTGTAGAGTCACTTTTCTTCCACTAACCTTCTTCTCAACTTGAAAAAAGAAATCATCACTGGGTTTATCATCACTGCTGTCTGAGTAGGAAGGATTGTATCTCCAGGGAGGAGTTATTTGAGACTGTTAGGATCTCTGTCTCTTTAGTCTCTCCCCTGCTATTCTTGTCTGGTGAAGAGCAATATATTCAGATGCTGTCTTAGGCAAAGGGGGGAAGCAAGGGAGAGAAATGGCCTGTTGCAGTTTCTGCGGTGGTGCTGGACAACGGGCAGGCAGGGCTGCGTGCAGGAAACGCCGCCGTGCTTGGGGACTGCGGGAAGCGCCTTTAACCCGCTTTCATAATTAATGTTTGGGGAGAAGGAGAGGGCCCTGTGGAATAAATTAGCGTTCATTGAATGTACATGCAAACAGATGTTAGCTGAAGTAGAATGGAAGATGCCCGCTGACCCAAATTTCTTACAGTGTCCTGTTCAGTCTGTCTGTCTGAAATTTTCATGCTCTGACTGCTAAGCCTTAATAAGGAAACAATTCCTTGTTTAAGTGTTTTACCACATATGTTTTTAAAATTTCACAATATACTGTTTAATGCATGCAGTCCATCTTGTCTGGGCTGCCTCCTTCACCATTGTTCTAGGCTGCACCATCATCGGCTCCCAGCTTGCGTGTGCTCAGCTGAGACTTGGACTAGTAAGGGCTGGGCTTTGCCAGGAAACTTGGTGTTTTGTAAACACTTGGGTTTGCTGTTCTGAAATCTGTTAAATGGTCAGCACTTTGAAAAGCAAATGGAAGCAATCTCATGGAAACAAAAAGCAATAAATATTTGTGGTCATTTGAAAGGATTCAGAAGTTTATTATTGTTAGTTTCTGCATGGGATACAGAATAACAGCTGGAGTCATTGCATGTGTGCCATGCAATTGTCATTTGCTACTTTTAATTATGATCTGACTTTGTTTCTGTGCAAATATATCCTATGTTTTTTTAATCTGAAGAAGGCTCATGCCTTCACATAGTTGGCAGTGTCACCTTACCATCAGGAGTTCTTTTAAATATCCTATTTTCAATTACTTAAGTCTCAGCTTCTTAAGTGTGAATGTCATTCTGAGTTATGAATTGAAGTAGGTAGTTCTTTGGTCACATAAAGTCAGATTGCATAAGGGTGCAAGATTTAACCTCATGTATGTGTTTTGGTCTCATTAAAGCCTGTGTGAAGTTGAAATGCCTGCTGCAACACCAGGCACTGATGGTCAACCCTGAGACCCAACGCTCGGTGTTGAGTGCTGTTCTGAAAACAGCTGAGTGCATCTGTGGCAGAAAAAAAATCAAGGAAGGAGAGGCAATATTTGAATTAAATACTATTTTTGCGAAATGTTACGGCTTACCTGAAATGAGTATTTCTGATATATTGACACTTAGTCTTTTCAGTCATGTCCCTCACCCACACACACACTCTTTGCCATAAATATGGTTTGTAGTTAACTGTAGAGATACAGCATAAGTCTAGATTAAGAACTATGAAGACTATTTAGACATTACACTATTCTTCCATTGAAAACTGAACACTGGAGTAAGACTGAGGAGGGATAGAAGGTTTTTTGTCAGCTATTGTCAACTTTCTGCCAGAAAAATAAGAGGGTCTGGAGAAAGGAAATGTTTCTTACTATCTTTAAGGAAGTACATGGGATACAGAATGCTAAATGTAAACCCTGTGTTTGTTCTGGTGCGCTCCCATCCTTGCAGACTAGCCAGGAGCACCTGATAAGCAGCAGCTTTGCTCCGCAGGCTTTGATATCGCAGCAGCTGTGGTGTCTCGTTCTTTTAAGAGGTATTTCAGCCTTGGTACCATGGATGTGGGGTGACAGACTGCATCTCTTCATACTTCCCTGGCCTGATGGCAGCTGGGGTTTCTCTGCTCTCTTGGGACGACGAGGGCTTTTCACAGAGAGCGTAGGAGGCGATGGCTCTCCAGCATCATATGTGGTGGGATCCTTAATTGACTTCAGTCCTGTGTAGCTTACCTGTCTTTCAAGAGCCATCAGTACTCAACACCCAGCTTCTATGACCTGTCCCATGGAGGGGCTGCTTATTTTCAGCTGCAAACACACTTAAATTTAGTTTAACTGTTGAAGGACCCTTCGTTTCCTCTGGAGACATTTAAACTATGTATTCAAGGTTTTGTGGTATTGAGCCGTGGGGAGAACTGCTTTTGTGGTTTGTCGCTGCTCTTCTCCCAGTACTGTCCTTGCAGGGTCCTGTTGCAGCGAGCTTCTCGATGCCAGGAGGCGGCTGAAAGAAATGGGGTTTTAATTCTTGCAGGTAGAAATTCTTCCTGGTGTGCACTGAAGTTCGCTCCTTTCTTTTTCCTTTTCCTTTCAACAGAAGTTGAAATAACCCCTTAGTCACACAAATGGAAAAGAAGGGTTTATCATGGTCTTAGCAGTGCTGTAATTTAAAGTGAGCAGGTAGTTTTAATCCACCAACGTTATACCTGTGTGATTATCTTAACTGGTTATTACCCAAAAACAGCTGTAGTTAAAATGAAACAAATGCTTTTGTGTTTATGGTGAATGAGGTAATCACTTTCTAAAGCTTGATGGATTCCTGGATTATTCTTTACGGATTTCTGTCTCTGACAGTTCTAGCCTTTGTGCATCTTATTTGCCTTTCTACATATACTTACTCTGAATTAAAACTTTTTAAAAGGAGATGATGCAAAAAAAGATCTTTAGCCTCTTCAAACTCTTGTATTAACAGAATATCATGTTTGTTGAGCAGAGAGCATTGCTAGCAGCGTAGAGTGGAGATCGAGATGCAGTCTGGTCTCACTGCACCCCGGTGTTGGGATAACAGGCGTCTCACTGTACCACTGCTACAGCCTTTGGAAGATGTCTGTGTCGGGTGTGAGTCTCCCAGCCAGGCACACACAGCACAGGCGGAGGGATGCGGAGTTACTGGGGAGCTTGGGGAGAAGTTGTGGGGTGCTCAGGGGTGCAGGTGAAATTGGCAAGCAGGACGTAGCCCCTCAGTTTTTCTGAGAGGTAAAACCAACTTGGAGCCCAGGGGAAGGGAGGTGATGCCTCATAGGAGGTGGAAAAAGAGGATCAGGGTTGCCCGAAAGTAAACTTTAGCTCCGTAGATCCTAAACGGTATAACCAAAGGGCACTTCAGTAATTTTGCGCTATTACCTTTTTTTAACTTCCCTTCCTTTTTCTCCTCCACAGTTGCTCTTGGTCGTAATCAGCCCTTGAAAAAAGAGAAACCGAAATGGAAAAGTGATTACCCCATGACAGACGGACAGTTGCGCAGTAAGAGAGATGAGTTTTGGGACACAGCACCAGCTTTCGAAGGTCGCAAGGAGATTTGGGATGCCCTCAAGGCTGCTGCACATGCTTTCGAGAGCAATGATCACGAACTGGCACAAGCAATCATTGATGGTGCAAATATAACACTACCACATGGTAGGTTCATCTAAGATGGATGTGGCCTAAGTGTAACAGTAGGTTAAGGCAAATGTTTTTTTAACCTGAAAATCAATTGAGACATATATGCAATAGTTTTAAATACTTGTATTTCAGTATGCACAATGTCTTCCTATTTAGTGTTTCAAAGCAAAATTACGTTAGTGTGTAGAGGGACCAAGAAACACTACCTTTTTACTGTTACCTAAATTTGAATGTATGATCAGGTACATGGTATAATACACAATTTAAGAGTCTGATCTCTGTCACACGTGTGACTTTCTAATCTCTTGAAACACCTGCATGCTCGAAGGTACAGTTTTCTTAATTTTTTTTCCAGCCTCCCTTTGTAAGGGAGTGGATTCTTTTTCCTGATCTTATGGTTTTCTTTGGCACTTGAATTGTTTTGGGGTTTGTTTTTTTAATTTCTTTTCTGAAGAATATGAAGAATATGAAAATTTTTCTTTCCCAAAAACTTGTTGCTGGCAATCTGCTGTAAGATCTTGCACAAGATAAAGTGTAAGCACTTACTTCAGGTGCTTTCCCTTTCACTCTGTTCTGAATTCTGATTTTTTTTCAAGCTCTGTTCTCCCTCACTCCACCCTCTGAAATGAATCGCTCCCCTTTATTCCCAATAGAAATACAGTTCAAGTTCTACATTTAAAGAAAAAATTTGAATGGATTTGTAGCTTCAGTAACCTGAAAGAATCGGGATGAAATTAAAAAAACAAACGAAACCACAACCAGAACAACCCACACCAAAAAAAACCCCACCACCAACCCATAACAAAACACACTGAACTGAAGCAGGCATGTGTTCTGGTTAGGCTCTGCTTGGTGTCCTCTCCTCCAGAAGGGGCATGAAGAGGCTTGCACCAAATAATGAACTTGTTCCAGACACGTGGAGCAGAATGCTGTATAAAAGACATTATAGATGTGCTGATTAGGGTTTCCCAGGAAGAGAAAAAGGATGATGTGGAAGATTGCATACCTTGCTTTTTGGCATAACTAGTCTTCATGAGATTGACTACTTGTATTAGCTTTTTTTCCTTTTTCTTTTATTGGTGGTGTTTAGGACCTCAATTTCCTTAAGAAGTCACAGTTGATCATATATTTAGTTTGGAAGGGGTGGATTTAGGGATGTCCGTCTTTTCCCATACTAAAGTGTGAAACATTACTAGTTGCTGGGGCTCAGTGTGTTGTTTTCCCATCTCCTGTTCAGCAGTCAGGATCTCGGCAGCATCGCTGAGAGGTGGAAACTTCCAGTGCTGCAACATGACCTGGCTTCTCCATAATTCATGGGCGATCTTTTGTGGTCCTCCAGATCATTGTTTGTTTTCAAGGAGGTTTGTGTTTTGCTGGTTTGACTGATAATGAGTGAGTTTTTTGTCAAGGGCAGTTATGCCTATGGAATTGATTTCTGTATTAGCTGTAGTTTTAAAGATAAATTTGTCAATTATTTCCAGAACCTGCCAATGCCAGGGAGATCTCAGGTCTCCTCTTTGACAGACCTGTTGGAGGTCTGTATACATTCTAGGCCCAATCCATTGGAGAGAGAAAAATAATTTCCCTGCTATAAGCTAGTGTGGTTTTCAACAGATAGAGAAAGGAGTCAGGTTGTCTAGCGTGGAACTGGTATCAGAAAACCTCTTTCTTCCTGTGCTTGTCATACCATGTTTTTTTCCTTCCATTAGTTCATAAAACTGGTCAGAATCTGGAAATCCTAAATTACCTACCAGGCTTCTTGATTTTTATATATCAATAACGTACTTTAAATAGCATATTTATTCTGTGTCCAGAAAACATCAGCATATTCTCCTTCTAAATCAATAGTGTTGCTGTTTTTTTGTCCTTCCAAAACAACTACATTGCAGAAAATATCCCAGAAGCAGCTGGGTGTTTAGGCAGCTTGTGAGCTGGAGCAAATTGTATAGGTGAGAGGGGTCTGGCAAAATTGATAACAGAAGTTACTGATAATTTTAAGTCCCCATTCAGATAATAATTAATATCTCAGAGATTGAGTATTTGCAGACCTAAAGTAGTTGCTGCATTGTTTTGCTTAGTTGCTAAAATAAAAATAGCAGAGGTGAGGAAAACTCAATGTTATATACGGGGCGGGTTTAACAAAATATAGATTACCTTTCACTGTGGTCTCTTACTGCTTATGTGAGTTGCTTTCCAGATCAGACTTTAGCTTAGCGTGAAGAATTGTCGCTTATTGTGTGAATGCTAACTCTCTGCAATGAGGGTCTGAGCCTGCTTGTGACCATACACAGAAGACTGATAGAAACGTAGTTCTTTTAGTAAATGAAAACTTCAATCACGAGCATGCTTTTGTAGTGAGGGGGATATTATTTGTATAATGTGGTTATGGATTTGATGAGACCCCAGTAATGAGCTATTTTGACAGCATTAGATTATGTCTTCAGTTTAAATGTTGCACAAGTGTACATATGAACAGCACTTCCAGGGGAAACGTTAAATTTACAGCATCAAGTCATGCAAAGAAGCCGTTTGACATGTTAGGTCTCTGCTTCCTCTCGTTAGAGTGGCATAACAACTTGTAATTGTGGAGGAGGATTTTATTCAAGTGGGAAAGCTTAAGTCTGCCTGGAAGAATGTGTCTTTGGCTTCTGAGATGGAGTCGCTTGTGTGTCTGTGCTCCTCGCTTTCAAGAAGAGAGGATGGGTGATGTATAGTTTCGACACTCCCAAATTTTGAAAATAGCATTTCTTAGTTTCTTGAATAACTGCTTATTAAGCTTATTCAGATTTTAAGGCTTTAAGTCCCAGCAGTTTCTGGTTGCAAGCAAAAATCTGAAATTGGGCAGATAACTCGCATTTCTTCTCTTTGGGCAGTCTGAGGAATGTAGGATGGATGGCGTGCCCTGGAAATTAGCCCTTTTAATGCCATTGAATGTAACACTTAGAAGCATGTGAACTCTTAAATTTGGCTTTTCAGCAGACAATTTGCTTGTGGTCCTGCCTACTACTGGCAGACTGTACTCTGCTTTCTAAGGCCCACGTGCAGAATATTCAGAATATTTCAGAAATAAGTCAGGAATCAAACTTGTATCAGAGGCTCTGTTGCCCAAGCCAGGCCTGGCCTGAGGCCGGATTCCAAATACAGAGAATATTTTGAGTATTTATTCAGGATCTCGAGTTTAGTAGTGATTTTTGTACCCACAAATTTGCTTGCTTTTTATCCAACTTTCCGCTGGTGACACTTGTCTTGTGCATCAGCTGCTTGCATAGTTCTCTGTGCAATGTGACCTTTCCACTAGAGAGAAAGCTACTTCTTTTAGAAATTCAAGTATTTCTTAGTCATCAAGCATTATTAGTGCCATGTACGAATAGATTATGAATAAAAGCCTTCCATTTATGGGTTCAGTAATGCCTGTTATCAGCAAACTGAGCTTATCTCCAGGCAGGTAGAACAAACAAACTGTCCTTGTTCTGAGTGACACCAAAAACCCCCATGTTTTTGTTTACAGAAACTCATTTTGTGCAGAACTTAAAGAAGGGAAAATAGCTGTTAAGAAGTGCAGCCGCTGCATATGCATTAACGTATGCGTAAGTCCTGTGCTTACCTGGCTTACACTACCACCTAGATTTACCTATGTAACTGCTGAGCAGTGCCGTGCCCCACGTGGGGGCGTCTGTCCTCCCACCCTGCCCTGGGCTCTGCAGAGGGACCTGGAGCATGGCAAGGGATCTGTGTCACCTCTGAAATTCATCTTTTATACCCTTTTTATTGTCTGTAGCTGTTTACCTGGCCAGGCAGCAAATACACATCCAGTTCAGGTTGTGTCTTCTGTAACAAAGTTAGGAGGAGACTTACAAAGCCTGCAGAGCCTCCTGAAATAACACCTAAACGCCTACGTGCAATTTTGTCTTCTGGGTCCACCAGAAACCCTGGTAGAAACTGCTCGGGAGTGCCAGCATGCCTCCTTGGAGTTCAGGCTTTGTTTCTTCGAACAGGAGGAAAAGGGAAAATTTGCTGCTCAGGCTGTGCATGAAAGCACTCTGTGTTTCCCCAAAGAAAGCAACTGTTAGGAAGATGACATGTAGAAATCAAGTCAAGATTTTTTTTTTTCCTACGTAAATAATGTGACAATATAGCTCTGGCATTTTTGTACATGAAAATTTGTATTTGTGATGGGACAGATAAGGATGGGACATTCTTCCTTTGATTTCTTAGCTCACCACAGAATCTTGATTCCTAAGGAAAACCAACATCAACTAAGATAAATTCCTTTAACTCTATTGAAAAAATAGAAAATTTTTAATTTTTTCCTCTCTGGAAGGAATAGGTCTTTTGCAAAATGATGCAATACTACGAGACTATGGCATTTCCTCTCATTTCTTTTCTGTGTGCACAACTGAGGCTTAAAAAAACCAAGTCAAACCCATACATCTCCATTTTAACTGTCCCTGTGTGGTAAGCGTGTTGTGTACATATTCAAACCCTGTATTACAAAATTAAACCTTGTGGGAAGTGGAGGAGTGGGAAGAAGGGGCTGGGGAGTGAGCAGGGACTGACGGAGGTTTGCAGATACAAATTCTGGCCTAGCTGATGCTGCAAAAATAAAATTGCTCTTTTATTCCAGAAACGTATAGGAAAGAGAGGAAAAAAATGCATCTCTTCTTAACACTGCATTCAGCCAGATATCTCACTTGTCTAACCTGTGTGAGGAAAACTAACCAATATAATTTTTCTAATGGATGCCTTTTGCTCTCTTCTGCAGTTAAAAATAGCATGTAAGAAGTATTAAATAAATAAATAAGCTTGTGGGGTGGGCTTAGCACTTCTCATCTATCTTGGGTGCCTCCGTGGGATGTATTTAAAAACAGAAATAATGTTATTGCCAGTTTATACATTATTTTTTTCTGATGTCTTAAAGTAGCACATCCTCAATATTTTATTAATAAGTCCATTTAAATTTAACAAAGAACAGTTTTACATACTTCTCAGCTATCAAAAAGGAAATGTTGGAGTGT